GTGCTACTCGCCTTCCAGGATGGGGACCGCGTGATCCTCAGTGTGCCTGGTTGGAGACACTACAAGATATGGCTGCCAATCGATGTCAGTGGCATTCTTGTTGTCAGTTTCTATCCAGATTGCCGACTGAATGTCTGGAGGTGTAGGCACCTCGGAATGATTGTGTTAAGCTAGCACTAAGGTCCTAACCCGTCCACATTTACTCTTTTCTTTACAATAAGGCCTTCAAACAAGTCATGGTTGTACGGCAGTGAAGCATCGGTGTTGAACACTGATGTCATGCTCTCGATGATGATGATGATGATGATGACTTTTATTCACTTCGGAGGTGGGCGTCTCAAGCTATTAGAGACATAGGGTCTTATTATGGCCTTATGGTCTTATTATCCTACTGGATTTGTTCTTTCATCAAACTCTCCCATCGTACGATATACGTGCAGATATTAGCTACAATCGGAGCATTGTGGTAGTTTGAAGTAGATACTGTCGAATGAACGGGGAAATGGGGTCATGTTGCATGCGATTTGTGGCGTAGGCTTCTGCAACCTGTGTGTGTGTGTGTTGCAATTCACATATTGTTTCCTCTCAGAAGTAGAGTTAACCGAAGCAAATCAAATCAGAACAAGTGGATTCCCCGTGGAATTCACTATATGCTTACCGTACCACAAAATTTGTTTGGTAGAATTCAATTTCACATCACTCTCGTCTGAACATTGCTCACCCTGCCCTCGGACAATTGCTCTGATGAGTCCACATCAAAGGAGGGAAGCTAAACAGCAATGCGCATCCTTGGCTGTGCCGGAATTCGAGGTCCGGAAACCTGGCATGTGAAGCGGGCGTGTGACCAGTACTCCACTAGCGCACGCTGGACACATCTGAACGATCAGGTCTGAACAGGCGAACATGTTCACACTTGACCGATGCGCTGGTAGAGTTCTGATAACATGCTCACCTCACATGTCATGTCCGGATTTCAAACCTCGGCACTGTCGGGGATACACACTGCTAGTGAGCTCTAATCAGAGCGAAATTCGAGCCCGTGCTCTGGAATAACCGGATTCACTCCGTCAGGACAACAGGAGTGCCCAGACGAAGGTGATGTGA